TAGCGATCCTTAAAACATCCACAAGGTGGCGCCTAAGACCTGGGAAAGAGCACAGTTGGCCTACAAGTCCTCAGAAGACTGCTTACTGCATAACTCTCAGGGTGATGACCTTTGGACTGCATTACTGACCACACCTTGAGCAGTCTACTTACATGAAACTTCACAGGGCAGGTTCAGCCTGGGCCTAAAGATGGACTGAAGTGCAAGAGAATGCTGCACAGTAGGAGTGAGGGCTCACAGTGCTCTTCAGAGGTTCTCAGGATTCTATGTGAGTCAAAAGCGGGGGAATTCAGGCTGACTCCAAGACGCTCTCCTGTATTATGGTGTGCTATTTGCTATCTGTGGAATGGTGGGTGGACTGCATGGCTAGGCCCTGCTTATTTCCCCACCAGTTGTAAACTGAAGGGACAGCAGGCTGCTGGACTCATGATCCACTCCGTTTCAGGTTGTTGGCCTCAAGCTGGGGTTCGTTTGAGCTCAAGGCAGCATCCGTGAAAACAAAAAGGTTGGCAGGAGGCAATCATGGATGTCCTGCGGCTCATCTCTCGGCTGGCTGGCTAGAGACTGGAGCGCTTCACTCGTAATGGTACGAGTGAGGGCTCCATGAGCTCATGAACGATGCTAGGGCTTTTGAGGGAGGCAGGAAGGGTGAAGGAACACTGAGATATCAGAAACCCTTGGGTCACCTGGGGGCCTTTTGCCTACTGAGTCCCTGGAGGTCTCAATGAATGGCAATGCTCTGCTCACTTTTCAACAGGGTTCTGTCCCCAGCGATGATTTTTCTCTGACTCTATAACCATTCCTTTTCAGAAGGCTGTATTCAGACTGTGGAGATCAGGAGTGCCTGGCCTGACCACTGTTCATACAAATTCTCCCTGATGGAGCCTGCCTGACAGTGACCTCACATCATGCTAGCGGGCAGCTCATCATCTCTGCATGGAGAACGATGCCAGGTGCATCGCACAATGCGTCCAAGAGGAACTGAATGTTACACTGGATGCCAGCCGTGTGAGTGCAGCTTTC